GTTTGGTGAAAAGGTCAAGTTCAAATCAATTTTATATACAACTTTTTAATAATTCAGGATTTCTCATTGTTAAAGAGTTTGGGGCACTGTTTGCACCATAAATTATTTTCTGTCGATTGTCACCGAATCTAATTTTATTGATTATGGCCTATCAATTGTAGTCAAATCTAATTTTATTGATTTTGATTGGTTGATTATGGTCTACCGATTCAAACCATATATCATCTTTTCAAGATTAATTATGACCACATTATTATTATTACTATTATTATTGTTATTGTTATTATCAGTTTGTGTAGGAAGTTGTTAGAACATAATGGAAAAGTGGGGCGCATAAATATTGGAGAAGTTATTCCTATAAGAGTGGTGTTAGGGGTCTTAAATATTTTACTACTATTTTTACTAAATTTCTCACATGAGTGTGAGATCTATACCATTTAATAGAAATGTTGATAAAACATTTAGAGTCCCTAACATTTTTCTTCCCATAAAGTGTGGCACATGGGTAGAAATAAATTGCTGAAGCAATTACTAGTAATTTGTTTGAAACTTACAACCTATAAAGAGGCTAAAGAAAGAGGGAAGAGGAGTTCAACGACACAACAACACTTGGTTTTTAAACTTGGCTCTTATTGTAGGTGTAGTTTATCAACTTAGGACTAGTTTCTTCAGTAATTTGTAACTTGTAACTTTGTGAACTCTGATAGTTTTATCTTGAAATTACTTTTTGTTTATTTTGTTTCTCTTGTTGATTGTAATTTTGTTCCAAATAAGTTTTTATTCCTTTGAGGCATTGAATAAAAAACACAATCATCTGATTTTCTTGTTTGGTTGTTTGTTTAAATTGTTACTTGATCTTGTCGATTTAGGAATTAGCATAAATTTTACTAATAAGTGTATATCATAGTATTTCCCTAAATATAATCATTTTAAGTGATTATTTGGGAAGTTGTCACGACCCAAACCCGCCCCTATGGGTTTAGCACCGTAACCGGCCAGTAATCCAAGATTACCGAAGGCCTGCTTAACAGTAATACAGTAAAACAGAGTACAGGGGCATGGCGGAAGCCAAAACAGTAAATAAACAATGTCTAATGAGCTGTGACAGTCTGTATGCCAAAAAGACTTTTCATACACATATACATGAACAGTGCAGAGCAGTATGTACATATATACAATCATTTAGTTCAGGGACCTAATCCCTATTAAACAGTACGATAACAGTTTACAGTTTATAAGACAGAAAAGAAGGGGGAAAACTAAAACACCCTATAGTCTTAGCTTGACAGGCTCGGAACGTCGCAGTGAGGCACATAGGTTGGCTTGACAAAACTGGAGTTTACCCCGACACTTCTAGCTGCGGTCTGGTGCCTGTACACCTTCATATATATATGAGCAGTGAGCTAAAGCCCAGTGAATAACATAATGCGTAAAGGGGTTTAGAATGAATGTCCTTACAGTAATGAAAACAGTTCAATTCAATCAGTATTTCAGTTGTTCAGTACAGTAAACAGTCATATGTGGTACATCCATTAGCATAACAGTACAGTAAGGTCTTAAAAGACCGAACAGTAATGATAGCCATCAGTCAGTAAACAGTAGTGGCTCCACGAGGGAACCGACAGAGATCTCTGTAACAGTAACAGTAAACAGTAGTTGCTAAGGATGCCACAATACAGTTCAGAAATAAAGGACATACATTCATTCAGTAATACCAGTTCAATAAACAGTTCA